TATAAAAATGAAAGTTTTGCGTCATTTGGTATAAGTGATAGGCTTCTTGCAGCTCTATCTTAAATTATGTAAAGGTTCACGTTCTTCAAGAACACATTAGTTATTCATGCGGAGTTAAATTTATGAAAGTAATATCGTCTGTTTATTGAAAATAGCAAAGTTATAGCAAAGATTGGTATGATTAAATTATACGAACAAGAAACCCTAATATATGGTCCTTATAATATGGTCCTATGGTGGTATTGTCCTTTTCGGAATACTGAATAATTTCGTTCCCATCCAATCCGTATGGCTAAAAGGTTGGTTGTGTGTTCTTAGAATAAAACGAAAAAAAACCTTTGAGCAGATTCTGTGATCATACCTTTTAGGCCGCGGCTTAACGTTTAATTTTGGGTAGTTGTTAATTTTATATTTAGCAGAAAAACTTTTATATTGGCATGCAGGATTAGGTGCATCTTTTATTTTATTTTATGAATTCATAATCAATTAGTTGTTTATTCAAATATATACATACATACATATAGATCTACAGATTGCAGAGGTTGAACATTATCTACTGACACTTTTTATACTTTCTTAATTGTAAAATTTCATGAAAAGTTTAATTTTACCAATTACAGATTACTGTAATGTCTGTTGCTTAATCTGAATTTGATTTATTTCACATTTTATCATCGTAAATCAGTCTTTTGCTCACACTTGACCAAATGTAAAAGCAGATTTGGTACAGTCCAAATGTAATACGTGTCAAGAACAAGATTCCTATACGAGTAACTTATGCCTAACAATTTGTTATTCAAGATGGTTGTTACGTTGTTTGTTTTAGAACCCTTCTCAAGACCGAACTAGAAATTCCTTTCGGGATAATGTTTACATGTACGAGTATTCTTTACAAAATCAACTTAGGTGCTGTATTAGTCAAGGTACTCGGATAATCTTGACTTTGAACTTTGCGACGGGAATACAAATGACCTGTGTAAAGAAGTTCAAGGTTAGGAATACAATTAATTTCGAATTTTCTTTTCGCTTTCTTTTTTAAAAAGACAACTCCCGTATTAGAAATATGACCTGTGTCGCGGGGGACTTTACAAACACATAAAACATACACAAAGAACACCCAGACTCAGAACGACAAATTGTGGATCACACAAACTGTCGTTCCATGTAGGAAATCGAACAGACAACATTCAGTATAGTAGGAAGTGGCGTGGTGACCTCTTAAAAACTACGCCATCCGTGCAGTCAGCTTTAATTAGTTTTTCTTGGTATAGGGTCAACCAAGCAGATGGATCAGCTGATGGTAGACGACTACCGCTGGCCATGGACAACTGCAGATCATGAATCACCCCTAGAAGTTCATGGGGAGGGGAGTATAAGTATAGTATATAATTATAATCATAAGTGAGGTTACAAGGCCAATGCCTTGTAACCTCACTTAATTAGTGAATAGCATGGAAAGATTTTTACACCGTTTCTCTGTGATGCCTTGGTATCACTCCGGTTAAGCCGGTCCCAATATTCCAAATCGTGGTTTTCCACCGTTGAACGTCTTATGCATTATAGGTTAACATTATGTTGAACGGTTTTTTTTTAATACTACTTTTTAAATGTCCAGTTTAGTGCATGTATCGTAATGTAGTTAAAAAAATGAAATCTATTTCGAATCTGTCAGACCGTTGTGTCCTACCGATTTGTTTATTATGTTTTTCGTGATGAGACGTATTAATGCACATATTTGTAAATAATCATTGAAACCCACCTTACTTTTTCTTTAGTAATACTCAAACGCGGTTTCTTTGTGTACTCGTATAGACATATTTTATGGGTATAGCTATGAAATCGATAGCTTTGTAGCTCAGTTCAGTTCTAACCCAAAACTCCAAATATTTAATTTCGGGGAAATGTAAAATAAGGCTTAAGTGTGTATTTAAATTTTATACATTTATTTAGTTGTAAACTTGGTACCTACTATAGTAAAATTAACATTAGGTACATGTATAAAGTCGTTTAATATTAATAGCCACTTAGTACTAACAAAGTACAAAATGTATAAATAACTAATATAATATGTAAATTTATTTATAAGTAAGAGTAACATATATTTAATATTATGTGCACTTAATATAAAATAATTTATTTATACAAAGTTATATTCAGGAATACAATGATAACGTTATTTTGAGACATGTCAGAACTTATTAAGTAACCCGATACTGCATTTTATATTTCTTATAGCACTCCTTAAAAATAGTAAAGTACCTGACAGTAAGCACTTACCATTTGGACGGTGGTGATGTCAAGATCACACTTTTATTCGACTCTGTTTTTGTTAATGTTACTGTGATAATGAGATGAAATGTTGATTACGAGAACTAGAAGAAAAAATAAGACGTCCAAATGGGGTGGATGCTTGGCTATCAAATAAAGAGTCATCACATCACATCAACAGCCTATACTAGTCCACTGCTGGACATAGGCCTCTCCTTAGAAAGGAGGTTTTGGCCTACTATACCACGTTGGCCAGACGGGTTGGTATAGGGTTTGTTTCAAGTTTTCCTTCTCTTTGCAGTGCTGTTGTCCTGCTTAGTTTGCTCCCTTAGTCGGCTCTTACGACACCCACGGGATGAATTGGGGTGGTGACAATTCGTATTCTTAATCCGTCACCACACGGACTAAAGAGTATAAAACACAAATTGTGTAGATTTTAGGAAACGTAGCTCGACAATCGATCACATTATCAATGGAATTGTAATTTGAATGAAGACTCTGTATAAGATTTTCAGATGTATCTGATTATTTTTTGCCGGCTCATTAATTTTAACACCCACGTTCTTCAAGAATATTGGCACGGTGTACTTATTCATCCAGAATTAAATTTATGAAGAGAGAAATATAGATGTTTGCTATTTATTTTGCCACTTCAATAAAAAAAAAATGATATCTGACTGTTATCGTAGATTTGTCATCAACATCTTCGGCTTTGTATAGCATCTAAGATTTTAAATCAATCAACATTAAAAAAAGCCATGAGTTCATGAGTTTCGGTATTTGTAATGGTAACTCATTTAGACTTACTCAGGTCGGATTTTGAATGATTATATTTCAGAGGTTCACCTTTATCTCCACGAAGCCCAGAATTCAAACCGTTCGAACGATAATTCGAGATTTTCAGAAATATTTATGTGCCCAGATTAGTTTATGTGACCCGGTTTCACAGATCTCTAGTCTAAAACGTGTACTATTAGTTGCATAGAAGACAATAATTTATCTATTAGTAATAAAAATAACTAAGCATGTTAAACGAAGTTATTAAAAAAAATGTAGCAAGTTAGAAGATAAGAAAATTGGCTTACATAAGTAGCCTAGCAGTACTTACCTTCGTAATTTTTTCAGATATTAGACGGAAACAAACTTTAATAAAACACTGTTAAATTGGAAAATGAATTGCAGATTTTATTTTCTTAATTAGTTTTTTTGGTTGGTAGAATTATATTACTAAGATTTTAGCTTATAAAGTGTATATTATATACATATAGACTTATATCTGTTAAATATACATTTAAAAATGTGTATCGATAACACACACTTACATAATACACAAAAATTTTACTTTAAGGTACAAAATTCAGTTTGTGTTATTAAATTCTTAACTTGATTGATTTAATCCTAAACAATGAACATGATAAGTAACTGTAAATAAAATAAGATTATTTGATATAAAGGTGAAGTTGAAAAATCATTTCTTGTAATGGATGGATCATTTTCATGTTCTTGTTTGTAACATTTGACACAATATGTGACAATATTTGACAATATGACAATAAGAGTTTGAAGAAACAATTTTAAATTTACTGCCCTTTTGACTCTTATTTACTCCTTTATTTTCTGTATCTCCCTATGGTTGACTAATAGAAAATACTTTAATCATTATGTTGCCCTATGTGTGCAAAGAATCAACTTTCTAAAAAAAATTTAATGGTCAATTTTCTTTAAAAAATGTAAATCGTGAAATTAAAAACAAAAGTTATTAGAACCTAGTTTACGCACGTTTAGTGCATTACGGTAAGAATATTTTATCTGCAAAAAAGTTTTCAGGAAATATATTTAAAAATAAAATAAAAAAGATTTTTGAAAATACGTAAAAATCGTCAGAACTAAGGATCACATAAAATATTTCATTATGCTTTCAAATTTTTTTTCTTTATTTACATTACAATAAGAAATATAACTGAATACTTCTGAAAAGTTTAGCATAAAAAGCTTAGTATTTCCACTTCTGAACATCGAAATGCGATAACGGAAACAAAAGGAGCCATTAATTTTTTGTTCTATTGTCAATGCTTAGTATTGTAATCAAAAAGTATTTTTATCATTTAATTAACAGGAAAAAGGAACCATTCAAAATTAAAAAATAACGTAGCGATTGCCTGTTTATCTCAAGTATTTTTAAATGTCCATCCTCCATCTCCCACTTCTAAATGAATCATCGATTTGATGATACCAAACCATTGTACTGTGACAATGAAATTGAAATCGATACTACCATATTAATTGTAGATATAAATTGTCATTCCAAGATTATTAATTAAGATACAAGTGAAGTTTACTAAAGGCATTGAAAACCTAAAAAAACATGAAATACTATTATAAAAGGAACAGAAAAGAAAAGAAGACAAAAATGTATTTTGAGCTATGTGCTTCAAGTACTAATTAAACCTTTTGAGAACTTACTACACTTTACGTAAACTTTTGAGTCTCAACAAAAAGAGAATTAAATTTGATAAAGAGAAAGTTCTTGAGAAGGAAAAAGCTTCCTAATGTAGGAATGTACCTATTTCAGTTAGAAATTGAAAAGTATTCTCCAAACTCATGATATTTCATTTACTATCATTTAAACATACAAGATTGATATTTTTTCACTCATAAAAGTACGTAAAATATTCATAGTGTCAAAGATCTCTCTCACAGCACTCAGTATCCATTTACGCTGCTTCGCTGCATCAGGTAGGCTGTTCTGGAGGTGGAGGCTCTTTATCTTTGCCTTCCTTTAATGATGGGCTACCTCCAGGGTCAGCGGATTCACTGTTTCCGCTGTTGATTGCCACTGACGTTAGAGGTACCTGAAAAGATATTGGTAGGTTACTTGTGTTTTGTTAAATTCATTTAGGGTATGTAGTCGTGTACCGTCGTTATCTCGTAGGTTTTCCTACATAGCTGTAATGTCAAGAGACTGAGGCAAGGCTAAATGATATTAAGGTGAATGTTACACTTAACCACTCAACCGATCAAAATGAAATTTAGTACACCTGTTACCAGGAGTACAAAAAAAGAACATGTGATATCTTTCATCTTGAAAAAGGTACTTTTCCCAAGAGATATTTTAACAAATTTGAGCAAAAACTAGTTCTTTATAAACAGTTATATGCTTTTAATGTATTTGTTGACGTGGCGTCATTAAAATATGACCATGACATTTTGATAATATTTTAGATAGAGATAGTACTCTTTATTTGACACTATTATTAGGGAACATACAATGTAGAACACAAACAAAAAACAGTGATACAATGGGTGGCATTATCGCAGTCTGTGATCTCTTAAATGCACCCTTTAGATCAAGAATTCGCAAAGTGGGCGATATCGACCCCTTGTCGACATAAATGAAAACTGATTTTGGGGGTCGACGAGGTCTAAAAATCGACTCCTATTAATTAACACAATTTCTCATTAGGAAACAACTTGTTATAAGAATGACTAATATTTTAGTAGGAAGTATCATTGTCTTTCTTTTAAAAAACTTAACAAGTCGATAATAGTGCAGTAATTTGGTTATGGGGGTTTGAGGTATTAGTTCATTTTAGAAAAGGGGTCCCTTGCCCAAAGTAGTTTGGGAGTCCCTGCTTTGGATGTACTATCCTATACTATATAGTAAATGTAGTTTTGTAATGCGTATTTATAATTTACGTATATTAACTAATATTACATTACATAATTACACATACATATACAGGAATACATATTATAGCGTATATTTTGTGTTTCTGCTTTGTGAATGTGAACGTAATGAACTCCATTATACACAATTGTTCTACTAATACTGTGCTATAATATTCAAGACATCGTTTTAGAGGGCAGTCATATTAAAGCTTATTGCTTAAGGGAATATTTAGGTACAGTTCGTTAGTTTCTATTAGGCGATGAATATTGCATTAAGTGAGGAAAATTGAATGTCTCTTAATATTTTACTGCATACATTTTTTAGAAGTATTGTATTTAAAGGGCAATTTTAACTAAAATATTAACTATAGAAGTGAAATGGTTTTAGGGTATGAATTTGAAAGAAAAATGATTAAATTTTTAGTAATTTAAAATAAATTAGTTTTTTGTTTAAGCTTTAAGAAATAAAAGAATATATTAATTCTTAAGAGTTCAAAAAGATTCTTGCGAATTAAGATGGTGTGTTTTATTAAACACGTACCCTGCCACGTTTGGCTGTGACACATTGTGGTTGTATTGATGAGAAATGGAGACAAAACTAACGAAAAAAATTGATAAAAACAATTTTTAAAGCAGTATGTATATCATGTCAAAGTTTAAGCTCAATCGGTGCGGAAGTTTTCGAGTTTTTAAAGCGTACATAAACCAACAATATATAGATTAATAAATTACAAACTTTTGGCCGCGGCTTCGCTCACGTACAAAAATGTTTTCCATTCCTAGCGTTTTTATTTCTGTGTCCCTCAGCGCATAAAATAAGAACATATAAATGTTATTTTTTATATATACACTGAAGCCCCAGATTGAATAAAAACATGCGATTATGTGAATATAGCGTTAAAAATTCGAAACATCTTCAAAAATAAAAGATAAAATATCAGTTCATTTCTATATTTTAACAGTCCTATCCTAGTACTAAACGAGAAGGAGTGCCTTAAACATTACTACAGTGGGAGAGCCATGCTTCAGCACAAATGGGCCAGCCTCAATCGGAGTGAACCCCACCCTTCCTCCCAATTCTGAGGTGGGCTGCACTCCTCACTCACTCGGTGAAAAGTAGCGATAAAATTATGGCCCTACCATTACTACGGTATGGCCAACCCCTGCCGCAGCATGGCTCTCCTAATTTTAAAACTATCATCATCATCATCAGCCTATCGCAGATGTAACTGTAGACTATACTAAATTTAACCTTTTACATACATACCATTGATACAGCAGTACATACATGCGTGTCAGATTGCCTGGGTGGAGGTGACAAGGAGGCATCAAATCTCAAGTCCAGTTGGAGCATGTAGATTGCAGCAGCTAAAGTCATGACGGACACCGACAACTGTGCACTAGCAACACCAAGGCAAGTTGTACTGCCGCATCTAAAAAAATGTTTTGGTTAAGTATTTTATGTAAAAATGTTTTATGTAGTTTGAGTTATTTTAATTCAGGCTGCTTTGAATTTTCTAAGAAAGACTCTTCTTTATGTGACACTATCTGTCAAAATTCTTCTTTGAAAGTTAAAGAAGAGTGACCAATATAATGCAGTTGTAATGTCTTTGTATAACCACGGAACTGCATAAAACTTTGTAATTGAATTTTAGTTTCTGCAGTTTTATATATCAATTTTTTTCATGGTATAACGAGGCTACGGAATACATGGGCCACCAAATGGTAAGTGACTACCTCCGCCCATGGACACCTGCAACTTAAGAATCACAAGTGGAATCACAAGGGGGGGGGGAGGTTTGCTTAAAGGGACGCCAACGTCAGTCTCAATCTGAGTGAACCCTACCCTTCTTCCAAATTCTGGGGCGGAGGGGGCTCTAGTAAGCTCACTCTCTCGGTGAAAAGCAACGACAACACTACACTACAGTATCGCTTAAAGATCAAAGGATATTGACTGCATATTGGTATGTCAATACTTTGCTTTCCCAGAGTCTTAGAAAAAATTTGGCGAAAAACGTCCTCAAAGCAATGTCCTCCTTCGCCACGATAACGCATCCACACATTCCGCTAAAGTAACAGAAGCCTATTTGAAGGCTTAAAATGTGGAACTGATGACACATCCGCCTTACAGCCTGGACCTCGCACCCTGCGACTTCTTTTAGTTTCCCTTTTTTTTTTTGTCCGTGCGAAAATCCCCTCGGATTCCACCTATCGGTGGCATGTCGGTCTCGAACCGACTAAAAACGCACGCCGTCTCGGGTACTAATAGCCGGGGAACCAGGTATACCCTAGAAAGGAAGTCCCTGGTGCTCTTTTTGTTTCCCTAAGGAAGACTGGTCCAACTGCTTTGCACAGTGGTTTAAACGAATACAAAAATGCATTAATTGCGAGAGAATATATTTTGAAAAAACTTTGTAAGTCCTATATTTAGTCTTATTTATCAGCACCCAGAAACTTTTAGTATGCCCTAAGTAGTACCAATTGTCACGATAGTTATAAAGAAGATATTTAAAATAGTCTTTCACACCAAACAATGGAATACAAACTAGAAAGAAAATATAAAGTAGCTATACAATATATTGGCGTTCTTATCGCAGTCTGCGATCTCTCAGACAAGCTTCAGATTGAATTTTCTATGTAAAAGTTTGTGAATCGTAGTATTGAAGAAACAAAATATTTAGAAAAAAAATAAAATTTGCATACAACCCATTCTATCGTAGTGTATGTATATTGTATATTTGTAAAGTCCCCCGCGACACAGGATATCTTCCTAATGTGGGAGTTGCCTTCTAAAGGAAGAAGAAACGTTTACTAATATAATAAATAGAAACTACACATTTTTTAATCTAGGAAGAAGAACGTAATTCCTGAGCTTATATAAGATGATACAATTATTGGATTCCTATTGGATTGGTTTATTAAGCTCTAATAAGCCCTAAGGCTTAGAGATTAAAACCTTGAACCGTTTTCTATTTTCGATTAACTCCGATAATAGAAAAAGATATAAAAGTTATTAAAAGAGACTGATAAGTATTAAAGAGTACAAAATAATACCTACATACACAAGGCAAAGAACAAGAATAAAGCAACGTGGCAAATAATAAATAGAGATAAAAGTAATAAGCCCACAGAAAGAATTACATTATATACATATATATAGATCCAAAAACCCAGGTACTAAAATAATTGCAGAAACGAATTCAACAATTTTTTTTGGTATAGAAATAGATAGGGATATGTCTTGGTAAACTCAGTCAAATAGTGTAAATAAACGGCTGTATGCGCTGTATAATCTTTCCAAGATAGTGAACCAGAAAACCGCACTTATAGCATATCACGCTTTTGTCACATGTCTACATTGAGATATGGTGTTATATATTGGAGCAATTCAACAAACAAGGAAAGAAGATGTGTTCCAACGATGTGCGGCATACAGATGACTGATAGCTGTAAACCTCACATTCTGGCACTTCACATTATTCACATTACCTACACTTCACATTACCTTGTTTGTACATCAGACACACACACATTTGAGATGGTAATGTTTGTGAGTAATAATTTATGTCTTTTTGAGACTTTAAATAGTGCACGACATGATCGTAAAATTAGTTATACCTTAAATAATAAAACAAAATTTAAGTAAAAGCTACTAGGAATGGCACCTAAAATATATAACAAACTTTTAACAAATATATAACAAACTTCAAAATCCCTCTTGCAAATTGTAAATAATAACATTTTAAAGACAGACCTATTGAGCATGTTGGTTAATAAAGTTTTAAATTTAATTTAAAATTATGGTAGGTACATTTATAATTTTTCTTTATGTTATTGGTATAATTTAGGATATTGTTTTGTGCGAAACCCTATTTGTATCTTTTGACATATTTTTAAATTTTGTAGTGTGAATTGTATACTTTTACATTGTCATCTTAAAAACACGCGTTAATTTCGATTTCTGGTAAAACTCTACTAGGATTTGTCTGCAAATACCATTGAAAAATACCTTAAAGTCGAAAAACAATAAATAAAATCTAAAAATATAGGCATTTCAACATATTTGATTAAAAATGAGGATTTGTCGGCAAATACCATTGAAAAATACCTTAAAGTAGAAAAATAATAAATAAAATCTAAAAATATAGGCATTTCAATATATTTGATTAAAAATGAAACAGACAGAACTCTACTATAAATAGGCATTACTAGTTAAACATTCAATAAGTCACAGTTTACGGTCAAAGATCTCGGATTTGCCGACACTAACCAATTCCGGTATGCGACAGTGACCTACTTGTGCTATTACATACTCTATGCATCCGTTTAAGCATATCCCTTTCTTAAGATTTCCTTCCCATCTTATCAACTTTTACGATTATACTGAACTCGCAATTTTCCGAAAAATAAAGTGCCCGATCGACTGTTATAGGGTTGTCCCTTATTATGTCAGTATGATTCGGTGTATCCCAAATCTACATAAATGTCTGTATGTATGTAGATCCAATAATGAAAACCGGCTTTCCACACGTCTGTATAGCAAATACACATAGTCTTACGGCGTACTGACTATCGATAGTTCTATATTTGGAATTTTAACTATATTCATGTATGAAAACGTGTATTAAGTGTGTGTAGTAACGAGAGTTTTATGTGTGGAAAAGGACAGTCATAAAAGCCGATGTTACCCACAGCAAAGATATGGATAAACTGTGTCGAAGTGGGGTAGGAATACAGCAGGCGGTGAAAAACAATATTATTATTTTAAAAGACAACTTTCGCTTGAGAGATATATCAACAATTTGCGGATTAAACAAAGTGTCGTCCTATGTGGGGATCGACCCTACAACACTCAGCGCAGTTTGAAGCGGCTAGGCGACCGCTTAAATCACTACGCAAATAATTAACATTACTCACCCAATGTTCATCAAAGACCTAATACAGAAGGCCAGCATGGCTATGTGAGCGCCTATCGCCAGTGTCCACAGTATTGTCAACGGTACTGCGGCACACGGTGAGGGTCCCAGTGCTCGCCATGGAGCACCCCACAGATGCGAGGATCTCGAACGAGCGGACACCCAACCGCCGAAACCTCGGCTGTAGTAAATTGAAGTCGCTAGAAGAAAATCAAAATTGTCTTAAATTTTAGACTTATTCGTTTTATTTTAGTTGTACTATATCAATTATTTATTAATATTTTGAATGCTGTGTAGTGGTTTCTAGTCGTCAGAGTCTAAAAGACTAGGTTCTAAACCTAGAGGAATTATTATGTAGCTTAACTACCCATTAAAGACATTTTCATAGGGTAATTTAACTTCTTGTCGATTGCTACGCAACTACTAACATCAAATTTAAACAAAAATATACCATAGTTTAATATCAATTTTATCTCAATTCAATAGAAGTCAATTTCGTGCAATTTTCAAGTCCGTGGCTGCAGCAGGTTTAATGATATCCGCTTTCCGAAGGAGAATAATATTCATTTTTTACTTAGTGAAAAAATATAGAAATAGTCTTATAAAAACACATCGTGTCAAATATATGACTTGAATGTCGTATATACATAACATGTACTTAATCAACTTGCACAGCGATCAAATGATCCACTTCTCTTTTTTGACAACAATAAAAAAATAAAGGTGTGTATGAATGTGATAAAGCTTTATTTATTTGAGAATGTTCTCGAAGACACTAAAATGAATTTAATAAGTCTAATTTCTTTTTAAATGTTATGTTTATTAGTCATCTGCATTTATTAAATGACAAAAATAAAAATAAAGAATATTAAGAGAAAATAAAATAAAAGAAAACGGGTGAAAAGTAGCAGCAAGGAACACAATTATTTTTCTTATGGATAACACAAAAACCGAGGAGCCAACCAACTTTCAGAAAATTACACACTTAGACATTCTACTCAAATTCAAATGCTTATAAAAATTCACTAAGTAAAAAATATATATATTTTGTGTACACTTAATAACGTAAGAAAATAACTTCTGTTACTAAAGAAGTAAAAAATTTAATAATTGAAGCACAGGTTTCGAGTATAAATACAAAATGAATTTCATTGTAGGTATACTGTTCAATATTTCAATATATATTAATAGACGAGTACTGAACGTTTATTTGAATGGCTCTGAAAACTCACTAATTGCTGTTAATAAATGCAAACTGCTACATTGTATACTCTCTGAATAGAAACGATGTCGTTCAAACAGCTTAATTTTGTAACAAAATGCTTTGAATACGATTGGGGTATTGAGAACTTATGTCTCGAATAGTTAAAGTCGCTTGTTATTCTGTGAACGATTCTGTGATTTATGTTTTATGATACAAGCTACGGTACCTTGCTTTGCACGGGTTACATTTGTTTTTCTTATAACTATTAAGTGACGATACTATGACGAATGCAAGTGGTTAATGACAGGATAATATTCTTAAATTTTACAGTGGGATGCTTTGGTGCTTCGGTACAAATAAAAAAGTTCACAAAAAGTCGGTGTTAAGCAATATTTTCGTTGGTGTCCATTGGTAGTCACTTGCTATCAGGTGTAAAAATCATACTTGAATCTGTATCACATTAATTAAATTACATATTTCATTACTGATAATATTTTGTCGTCACTTTAAATAAAACGGTTATTTTTACATTAAGAACAGGGGTGAACTGTAACAAAAGAAAATATATTTAATAGATCTACAGGATATAGCGGGGAAGAACCGGATGTAGAGAACTGACGACCGGACATAGTGGCGGTTATTAGCCGAGCCCTATGTTAATGTATTAACCAATGAAAAGCTGGTGATCATGAATAACGATAAAAAATTACAATTTAATAAAATTTGTGAGGTAATCAGAGGTGCCAAGCCAATTGGTCAACTTGAAATAGGAATGATGGGGTTATAAAAACTCTACATTACAAGTTTAAAAATCTGTATTATGTTTGGACTTGGAAATATTAAAGTATTTTTATTTAGATATAGGTATAGATTAGGTTTCCGTGTGGTCACGGATTAAGAATACGGAGTTTTATTCATCCCGTTGGTGTCGTAAGAGCCGACCAAGGGAGCAAACTATCCAGGACAATAGCACTGCAAAGAGAAGGAAATCTTGACATAAACCCTGTACCAACCCGTCTGGCCAGCGTGGTATAGTAGGTCAAAACCTACTTTCTAAGGAGAGGCTTATATCCAGCAGTGCACAAGTAAAGGCTGTTGATGTGATGTGATATGATTTAGATATATATGTGTCCGGCTGACGGTAATAGTGTAGCCTCTATCGCATAAGTGGGACTAAAATTGCACTTACTTTGCACTTTGTACTACGTGTGTGTCTACCCCTTCAGCGATGAAAGACGCGAGTGTATTGTAAATTTATTAACCATCCCTTGAGTTCTGAACCAGATACAAATAAAATTGCGGTTACTGTTATTTAGTGAAATTGCTAATTTATGGCAAGTGTTGTGTTTGTTGCCAATGTATTTTACACAAATACCTACGTACTGTATGTAACTAATAATTTGAATTTAATATTATAGAAAGCTTTAACTTAATGTACTTCTATTATAGTAAATGCTCTGTATGACTATGTTTTGTAGGTGAACGGCTTTCTAACATTATAAATAATATAAAAAATAAAAAATATTTTATATTATTAATTAATAATATAAAATATTTTTTATTTTTTATCATATCTACGGTGTAAGGGACATCATAACGAATACTGAAATAGTGTATCATTTTGAGTCTAAAATCATTGGAATTTTCTGGCGGAAACTTTTCCGTACGTATCGCACAAAAGTAATAACTACATGTGTATTTCGTGCAAACATTCTACGCACACTAACACAAGTTGGCGGCCGGAGGGGGCCCTGTTTGTTTAATTACGTTACAGTTTTTGACCGTATGCAGTATTTATTAATTTGTTGTGTGTGTGTCATTGTGATATCAATTTTAACCAAAGAAATTGAAAAATGTGAAAAAAAAGATGAATTTTCAACTCAAATACACACACACACACTACAACTAATACACACTAATAATAAGAATACACTATTTCAGTATTCGTTACAATGTCCTTACACCCTGTATATCTCATATGAAAGTAATCATTCAAAATAAATCATCATTCATTTATCTATATCTACATAAACATGTTATGCTGAATTGGTTTGTTTACGCTTCAAAAAGTGAAAAGGTTTTTCACCGATTAAGCCTAAACTTTGTCACGATACAGAAACCGCTGTAAAAATCGTTTTTATCAATTTTTTGCGGGAGCTTTGTTCTTCATTTCTAATCAACGCAACCCCTACAGCACAGGGTTGCTACAGCAAAGGATGACGGGGTAGATACAGCTTATATCTTATCAAATGTTTAAAATGAAATTCTATACAATGACGGTTTAATTAATTAACAAATATGTTCCGTTGTCTATACCTAATTTCTGAGGCGCTGTTAATGACGTCACTTTGAAGAGGGCAGAACTCCTCGTGACATCAGGTCTAAAACTGTTTGTAGAACGGCACTTCAGTATAACATGTTGTTCTAAAATATAAACATTCTGGCAAAATTGTTACTATATTGTATTTGACTTAGCAGTCCGGAGATGACCAGCGCCGACCAATGACACTGAGACAATTTTCCTTTTTATCGCCCTTTTTTTTCCGTGCGGAAATCCCTCGGATACCATCTATCGGTGGCATGTCGGACTCGAACCGACTAAAACCGCACGCCGTCTCGGATACTAATAGCCGGGGAACCAGGTATACCCTGGAAATGAAGTCCCTGGTGCCCCGACATACCTCGGGCCATCTACAACAACAGGTAGACGACCCCCCCCCCCCCCCCAAGTGGGAACCCAATGTTCCCTATGCTCCCTGGAAGCGAGCGCGCTTCGCAACGCGCTCAACCTTTTTATCGGCCTGGATTAGAAATCATCTGTTTAAAAATTTACAGGTAAAACAAGACTATTCTTACCTAGGCCTCAGATTCTCATACTCCATTAAGCACACATATAGATCATCTACACACAACAGCTTCTGTCGCAATCGCAGCAATAAATCACATCAATAATGCTGTCATTTTTCAACCGTATTGTTACAGGAACCACGATTGTGCGTTACGAGCGGTAGAGTGACATATCTCGTACTATTACACTCCCTCTATTTCTGGTATATTTTTTTTAAAACAAGGAGTACTAAAATATTGTAACTAAATAGACGCTTTTTAAGGTAAACAGCATCCTTCAGATGCGCTTGAGGTGTCGTGTTAAATCGCCGGTTTGTAAATTTCAAGTATACATTTTGACGCAGTCGGGTGTTTTTTTTTTCAATACTTAACTTAATTAATTTTAATGAACGTTCGTTAATGGTCACTGATCCGCTCCTGTGGATCTTAGTGTAATGTTCATGGTCATCAACAGCCTCTAACAGATCACTGCTGGACATAGGCCTCTACTTAGATAGGAGGTCTTGGCCTACTACACCACTCTGGCCAGAAGGGTAGTTTGTTTCAAGTTTTTCTTCTCCTTGCAGTGGGAGCAAACTACGCAGGGCAACAGACGCTGTGTAGTTTGCTCCCTAGGCTGGCTCTTACGACACCGTACGGACATCAGACAGTGTGATGTGTTACATACGACATACTTATACATAATCTATAAACTACATCAATGAATATTCTATCAAATAAATAAAATAAAATTTACAAAGATAATTACATGTATCTGACTAACAGTTAATGATATTCACTCATTTCTTGTACTCGATTCATCCGTAGAATCGATATTCCTTTCCTATCTTTGCTTTGAACTGAAATTTCGTCTAATTGCTACAGTGACTAATCTAATGCCGAAAATGTTAAATTTAAATCCTAAAATGTCCCATCTAATTCCTAAAATGACTCGTCTAATTCCTAAAATGTACCATCTAATTTCTAAGATGACCCATATAATTCCTAAAATACCTTATCTAATTCCTAAAATGTCTGGTTGACGGCAATAGGCTTGTCCTCTATTACGTAGGTGTTATTAATATTATAGTCAGCAAAATAAGGGCGATCAATGCGTCTTGCGCTTTCCGCAATATAGGAGTGAATGTGTAAGTATCTACTAATTATACTCATAGAACACAAAAGAATTTTAAATATTCTTGAAATGTAAATAAAGATTAGTATATACAGGGTGGCGCAATAGAACGTGCATATTGCATCATCTTTTTTCGCGGGGTAGAAAGTGCGCGGGCGGGGGGAGCCTGCATCGTTGGGTAGGCGGGCTCATGGAGTTTTAGTCACTATGAGTCACTTCGACGGGAAGCGTCGCGCATTTTGCGTGCGCGCATTTTACGAGAACTCTCGTTCATACATCGTTACTAGGCGTTTATATTGTTCTGAATATGGACTACGGCAAATTAGTAAAGCTCCGAGTGCTAATTTAATTAAAATATGGGTACAGCGTTTTGAAGAGACTGGTTCAAAGTTTAAACCACAAGCAAAAGGTTGTCCAAGAACATCTAGGACCGACGACAATATTGAGAGAGTTATGCAGTCTGTACGAGGAGATCCACAAATGTCTACTCGTAAGAGATCGTCTGTCTTACACTTATCGCGACGAAGTTTGCAACGAATTTTAAACTTGGATCTTAAACTGCATCCTTACAAGCTGCAGTTAACACAAGAATTGAAAGAGTCTGACTTCGGAGCAAGGCTCGCATTTGCTAATGAAATGCTTAATCGATTTTCCAATTTTGACAATATCCTTTTCTCAGATGAGGCCCACTTCCATATCAATGGGTTCGTAAACCGTCAAAATTGTCGTTACTGGAACAGTGAGAATCCCAAACTCAAGCACCAGAAACCACTGCATAGTCCTAAAGTGACAGTATGGGCAGCAATCTCTGGTAGAGGAATAATTGGACCGTTTTTCTTTGAAAATGCGCGGGGGCAAAACGTCACTGTTAATACCGAACGCTATGTTGCGATGTTGGAAGGTTTTTTGGCTCCAGACTGATTTCGAAAAGAGGTGATATCCCATGGCCCCCACGTAGTCCAGACGTGACGCCTCCTGACTTTTTTTTGTGGGGATACCTCAAGAACAAAGTCTACAGTAATAATCCGAAAAACAACGATCAGCTCAAGGAGAATATCCGTGGTGAAATGGCAGCAATTACACCAGCATTACTGAAGAAAGTTTTCAATAACTTCCGTTTGCGATTAGAGGAGTGTCGTCGTAGAGAGGGTCATCATTTAGACGATGTTATTTTTAAAAAATAAACTTCAGTTATTTCTTAATAATACCTCAGTTTTATTTTAACTATACCTTTTGTATTTATTTTCTAATCAATATTTTAAATATGCATGTTCTATTGCGCCACCCTGTAGTTTATATGAACTGGTACCTGCAGCTAATACAGTGATGGCTCCCGCTGGTACTCCAAGACCCAATGCCGGCTTTTGTCTCTCTTCAAGCCAGCCTACTGCTCCGAGGACCAAACCACCAATGCCACAGACGATCTGAAACATCGTGCATTTTGAACAGGCCGAAAATAAAAATCAACTTGAATGAGAAAGGCAATGAAAATATTTGGAGTGGTTAATAAAATAAGAAGTGACTGGTTCTAGGTTAACATTATTCTTCATCAGTCGATACAGTCGAACAGTATTTTGTACACTTTATTATCTATATAAAATTAGATCAAATCATAATTTTTTACCTAGAGGGTTCTAGGTAAAAAATCTAGATGGTTTAGAATCTATTATTTCCGTTCGTGAATCGTAGATCATCGGTCGTCTTTATTTATTTTAGTACTCTCTCTAATATCTTCTAAAATATCCATTTTAATGATATGCTTAACAGAGCAATTTTAATCTGCATTATATTCACAAGGTATCTAACGTATTTAATTGGATAAGGAATAATAAGGTATTGTTTAAAATCGCTTCGTATATAACCTATTATTTTTTTATAATATTTAAAAAAAAAAAACATTTACCATCGCAAACTTTTTTGTAGATCTTTTTAAGATATACAATTCCGTAGTACATTGTTTAGGTCTATCTCAGAAGGTTTAGGCAGCGTTTGCTATGTAAGCGCACAAAACATTTTTATTACGACAAATCTTTGAAATGCTCAGATTTTGTCTACTATAATATGCATGTATACATTAAACCTTCCTCTTGAATCATTTTCTCTATTAGTGAAAACCGCATTAAAATCCATTAAAAAGATCTAAGCGTACAATACAAAAAAGCGGTTTTATTTTATACTCATCATCATCATCATCATCCTTTAATAGTCCACTGCTGGACATAAGCCTCTCCTGAGAAAGGAGGTTTTGGTCTACTATACCACGCTGGCCAGACGGGTTGGTAAAGGGTTTGTGTCACGTTTTCCTTCTCTCTGCAGTGCTGTTGTCCTGCTCAGTTTTCTCCCTTGGTCGGCTCTTACGACACCCACGGGATGAATAGGGGTGGTGACACTCTATTTTATATTATGTGCAAATAATTTATGCTCGTTCAATAACAAGTAACCTCTCACTTACTTTTTAATAGTTGCCGAATATCGTAGGTTGAAAAAAAAGTTGTCTTCATTGATTTCATGTTGTTTAAGAAGCCTATACCATGCTTAATGCTGGTAGTTTCATTTGAAAACATTAATGAAAAAAATATAAAATAGGTACGTTTTTAAAATGTAAAGCTGAAAATCACTGATGTGAGTTGAATACAGCTCTATACCGTTGCCTTATCTTCTAACAACAGAAATGATTGCAGAGGCAGTATCTGCGAAGTCTTACAGATTCGAATTGCTCGAGGCTTCATGTCTTCATACCAATTGCCTACTGGCTTAACTTTCATACCTACACACATAAATAATATATTGTTTCCTGTATGAATATATTGTGTCTTTGAGAATTGTTGCTAGATTTTAGGTTTTGTTAGAAACATTAATTATGATGACAGTAGCAATATTTAATAACGAATTCGTTGTGCTATGTCTGTGTAGTCAAACTTCTATAAAATAGCGACCTATGACGTCATACTTTCACACACCATCAACAGCCTTTACTAGTCCACTGCTGAACATAGGCCTCTCCTTAGAAAGGTCAGGTCATACTTTACTATACTTAAATTGATGTTTATATATAGTTGATTGTATCCTATTTCATTGATTGCTATCGTTAAAGTTTTACTTTTATTGCTTGGTTTTGTAATTACGAAATTAAAAAAAAATATGGAAAATGAATTTAATTTTTGATATATTTTAAGACTATTTTAAATTCGTAAATACATGTAAACAGGCTGGAACGTCTAAACGGATCTGAATAAAATTTGGGCAGAGATAGATTATAATCCACATAAGCGAGCGTGGCTTATGTCCAGCAGTGGACTATTAAAGGCTGTTGATGATGAAGCGAGCGAAGCCACAGACAAAAGATATTTTGTTATAAACATAGGTTTTTTTTAGAAAGGTCAACTAGCAACCGAAATTACTAGTATTCCTTCTAAACCCTCCAGCTAAGGTGAATTGCTTGTGTTAGGTGTGGGTTCACGTCGGTAGTGTACCCACGACCTCTTGATAGCAAGTCCAACGCCTTAACCATAGTCCATGAGTGAAGGAAGGGTAGTTTTTTAATAATAGCTAGAAATCAATAAAAGATAAATCAGAATTGAATTTTATAGCTTAGTTGTTAAGGGGTTTTGTTTAATCGCTAATGAAACAGTTCGCTGTTTCATTGATATTGTTCGTTGGTTTTTACTGTTCGACAGAAAGGTTCTAAATCGTGTAAAATGTTACAGATTACTTTCCGTCGTTTTAATTGAATTACGCGCTCTACGGTTGTATTTTCAACTCAACTCAAACTTTATTTATTTCATAAAATTTCCAAAATTGTTTGAAATCGTCTTCCATGTAGACTCTAAAGTCATAGATGAACACACACAAAAGCAACAATATCTGTTTTGTCAAATAGTAAGCAAATAAATTTAACAAAAATAAAACCCATATCTATGGTATGCCTGTGCTGATCTACAACCGCCCGTTTCCAAGGGGTTGAGCCTTATGAGAAGAAAGGGCAAACAAACTCATGGCCACTCTTTTGCAATTCACAGGTAGATACAATGGCACTATTAAATATACCACAAAATTGTTTTGATGTGTGCTAGTATGTCCGTTATTAAGGACTAAAAGGTTATTTGCCTGATTATAAACCTGAATAATTAAATTACATTGTTTACTTTGACGTTTTTGTTCAGTAATTGAAATCGAATTTGAAACCGTCTAAGTGTATGTATAATTCTACCATTTGCTGCTTACTTCTAATTATTTACGTCAGATATAATGGAAACTTTTTAAGAGGGTTCGGTTTTGTCTTGAGGCGGCTAGTCTCCTGGCTGGAAATCTACCATGAGACCTCGAGGCGATAGCCCTTGCGGCTCTGTATCAGTGAGCAAGGAGGCGTTGGAGCTGGGACGGAGTCATAAGTCTCGAGAAATCGAGGATCAGAAATACCAGCTCCGCCAAGTCCTCGTGGGGGAGTGGAAGGAACGACTTGGGGAACCGAGCGCCGGGCACACCGTTATCGCGGCGGTAGACTCGAGAGGCAATACGGAACCCTCTCATACCGGCTGACGCAGGTGTTCACTAGGAAAGGGTGCTTCGGAGATCACCTGTATCTGATCCGCAAGGAGCCAAGGCCGGAGCGCCGGTCCTGCAACCATTGCGATGGCCCGACTGGAGCTCCACACGCTGGCAGAATGCCTGGCGTGGGTGAAGCCTCGTGGCGGCCGTCGGAGTGAGAATTTTCTCGCTCGGTAACATGATTGCCGCCATGGTACGGAGCGAGACTGTGTGGAACTTCGTCGTGCCCTTCGAGCGTGCGAGCAGGTTATGCTTGCGAACGTGATGGCGGAGAGGGACCGGGAAAGGTTCAGAACTCTCCCGGCTCACCAGGCGCTGGAGGTCGCAGAACGACCTCCGTCTTCCATAAGCGCAGGCCTGAGGGTGACAGATGAGGTCACCTGTCACTCTAGCAGAAGTCCGGTGTGGGTGGTGGCGCGTCCTTCGGGGGCAGGAAGGGAACATCTGGGTTCATTCCACACAGGAGGGGTCATCTATAAGCCGTAGATGGCCCGAGGTACGTCGGGGTACCAGGGCTTTTCTTTCTAGGATATACCTGGTTCCCCAGCTACTGGTACCTGTAGACGTCGTGCGGTTTTTGATCGGTTCGAGTCCGACATAATCACCCTGTGCTCGAACTCGAACTGTTCGGTGCCGACAAAACCGAACCCTGTTTTTTCATTTTTTTTCTGTGCGGAACTCCCCTCGGATACCACCCATCAGTACCCACTGACAGGTGGTATCCGAGGGGAGTTCCGCGAAAAAATTTTTTTAACAATATTAGTGTAATAGTTATTAGGAACATTAAAAACCAATGTAGATTGAAAGTTAAGTAAGGAGGAAAGACAATACAAGAGATGGATGTTACTTGGTTTAACTGTAGTGTTTGGTTTAATAACATCGGTTCGAGTTGATCGGATCGTGTATACATAATATGTGTGCAACTCGAACTGTTCGGTGCCGACAAAACCGAACCCTTTTTTTTCATTTTTTTTTCTGTGCGGAACTTCCCTCGGATACCACTCATCAGTACCCACTGATGGGAACTGATGGGTGGTATCCGAGGGGAGTTGGTTTTTAATGTTCCGAATAACTATTACACTAATATTGTTAAAAAAAAATTATTCTAATAACGTATCGGATAAATTTGTTACATTCAAAGTGGTAAAATGAACGAGTGTACGATTCATGATTCTAATGAAATCAATTCAATTAATATTTCCGTTTCACCTGGAAGTACCTACTATTAACAAAGTTCTTTAAACGAAAAAAATAAAAAGAAATACAAATATTTCAGCACGTTTTTATGCTTTACTATTACCATGGTGAAGAATAAAATTGACAAACGCTTTTCCTAACAGCCAGTAACTTTTTTGCTTCTGGAGTTTGACTGAAGAATTTTAAACAATTTCGTGAGATGTTGTGCAACTAAGTTTTGCCTTTTATTATTGCCATGAACATTCTAGTTAACTGAATTTCTTCTTCTTCTTTCTTTCATGGTTCCAATTAATTGAGCGAAAGCTGAATTTAGAAACATTCTCATCCGGGATGACAATATAAGTGATTATCAGTGTAATCATACATAATTTATCAGCTCGATGTAATATTAATTATTCATTCAGTAAAACAGTACCTTACGTGAATAAAATTTACATGTAATGCGGCACGGATTTAAGATAACTCTTAGTATGTCTACTACTCTTAGTATACAATACCAAGAATCATCCAATTAAAACGCAATTTAATGATCTTTCATACAAGCATTAGTCTCCTATTTTGCCACTATAAAGATTTAAATTCGTTACAAACAATAGCCTATGGCATTTTCCAAGAGCTTTTTTATCTTAATTTTTTTTTATCACAAACAGGTAAACCTGTTTGTAAACTAAAAGTAACA